ATCTGTTCAACACTAACTCGCTCTAGCGGTGAATCGGTAAACTACTCATTTTGAAATTTCTCTTCGTTCGAACCGGATGATTGCCGTTGGACTACTTCCTCGACGACAAACGGCGGTGCGTTCAGGTGCTCTTTGTGGCGCCGTTAACGGGATTTACCGGCGAGTGAATTCGAGAAATTTTGTGGTTTACAGCTACGTTTGAAGTCTGAATCGTGCATTATGGCTTCGAGAAAGTGCTGGGTGTTCAATTGCAAAAATGCGAAAGCGAAATTAGCCATTAAAAAGTCTACTTGGTTACCCAAGATATGTGAAATACGAGGGTTGCCTTTTATATTTCAGGATTAGAGAACAAAACCAAATATTAATCATCGCAAATCACTTTATTGTTTTTCAAAATATTCCCCATCAAGATCTACACACTTTTGCATGCGTTTGAACCAATTATCGAAGCACTTTTGCCACTCTGATTGAGGTATCTCCAAAACATTCATTCTGATTGCCAGCAAACCGCTTCTTCAGGTGTCAAAAACGTTGACCTCTCAGTTTGTTTTTCACGTACGGGAATAAAAAGAAGTCATTCCGATGCCAAGTCAGGACTAAACGGCGGATGACCCATAAAATCGATGTTTGTGGTGCTCAAAAATGCAGTTGTTGAGCCGATGTGTGAGAAGCTCGGCATTGTCGGTGGTGAAGTGATCCGTCTTCGTCGGTTGTTTTCCTGATTTCTGGAAGACAGCTGGCAAAGCAATCGTTGTGTACCACTCAGAATGACTGTTCTGAGTTGTTCTAATGGTACGGCGTGGCGAACATGTCCAGTTTTTTTCGAAAAAAGGCGACCATCTGTTTGGATGTGCTTCGTGCGCGAACAACTTTTTGTAGGATTGTGCTCATCTTGAAACACCCATACTGTCGACTGCTGTTTTACTTTCGGGCTCATAGGGCGTAAAATCCACGAATTCATCACCTGGTCACGATATCATAGACGTGTTTCAAAGTATCGCGATCGTATTTTTGAGCATTTCTTTCGAGCAATCGACACGAGCCTTTTGAGTGATTGACAAATGTGTGGAACCAACGAGAACAATTTTTTGACAGTCAAATGTTCATTGCAATATTTAATTGCAATGCAATATTGCTGGTCCCACTAATGCCTAAGGTTGTCTCAATCTCACGATAGTTTACATGACGATATTTTAATATCAGTTCACGCACAGCATCAATGGTTTTCCGGAACAACAACTGATTTTTGGACGACCTTCGCGGAAATTCGTCTTGGAGTGAAACTACGACCACGATTGAATACAAACATTATCATCGATAAACACTGGTCCTTGATGGAGTTTCATCGCCAAAAATTGAATTAAGTTTATTCCATTGGCACTTGTTGCTGATGTTAATCCACGTCGAAAGTGCTAAAAAATAATCGCCAGAAAAATGTTTCAGCGATTTAATTCCCATTTTTGGGCCAAAATAATTCTTTTAAGTTATTTGTAAATCAACACAAATAGGCGCTCGTATGTTCAAAAACTTCTGGTTCGTATTAACCTCCAAAACATCCAACTGTTACGATAGAGCTATCAGTTGCTAGATCTGCCAAGATCCCGCCAGATTGCCAAATGCCAAATCACCAGGGTTGCCAAATCCCGAACGAAAAGGCAAACCTTGGCGGCAGGCGATTGGTGTGACGATTAGCGTGCCGGACTGTATACTCAAGCTCCGGGTTTCACAAACCCATCCGTGATTTTTAGGGGCGACAAAATCCTTCGTACGCCTTCCCTTCGGAGGGGAAGTAAAAGCCGGCTGTCCCATGTTTAGTAGATTACTTGCATGTTAAAAGATCCTCAAGGCCAAATGACTTCTCTTGCAGCTTAAATTCAAAATCGCCTGTTTCTTACGGCCCAAGAAATAGCTCCTTCCGCTGCTAGTGATGAAATGACCGTAAGCGAAATTTTGCGTGGTCAGACGGAAGAGCGGGCCTAATGGGCCCGAGTTCTCGCCACGTAAAATAAGGCAAATTCAATTCAATTCAACCTTCGTAGTGAGTTAATTTTTTTATCTTTCATTTTTATGCAAGTGGTTTATCAATGAATACTGCTTCTATATTATACTTTTGTTGAACGGTTGCTGTAAAATTAATATATTTGTTTTAGATGTAGAGAATGGTTTAAAGCTAATGGCAACCCTGCTCTCCCCAAATGCACATGGAAGCATCTCAAACGCAGTAAATATGTATGGAACATTTTCTGGAACAGCATTGTATCTGCCACTCGAAGGACGAGTGATAATGCTGTTACAGTAAAATTTCGGAACCTCGAAACTTTGCGAAGAAGCATTGCAGAATTTCAATGCAAGCGTTCCAGTAAAAGGAAGTAAGTTCTTAATGTTCTTCGATGTGTATTCAGGAGTTTCAATAGTGTGTCGTAAAGTGATTCTCGAATGTTCAGTTTGAATTTCAGATGTCCAAATTCAAAATTCACCACAAATTTCAGTGGGTGTTACTCCCGGTAAGATTTCTTTTCAATAGAAATAATGATAATTTGTTTTTTCAGAGAACAGTTTGTGACAGTATGCATTGTCATAAAACAGCAATTAATTTGAATGAAGTGTTTCTCATCAGATTAGCCTAGGTAATCATTTGTGGTTACAAAAACTAATGTCAGTAAATCGTGCATTGCAGCAAGTGTGCCTGGTTTATTTGCTGCCAGTATTTATGGTGTTTGCCTTGAAAATGCGTTCAACTAATTTAATTATAAATTGTAGATTTTTTTAAATGTTCACGTCATTTGCAGACCGCTTGTTTGAACTAACTGAGGTGCCACCCACAATAGCAATGGCTGTAACTTGCAAGACTTATTTTTTTAACGTTTGTGATTCATCTGTCCCTGTTGACAATAGAATTTTAAACATGACAGATTTGTTTTACATTATAAATGTGCATACAATTTTGTTTTTGTGATACTAATTTTAATTATCAAATAGTTTGACGGGAGACTTTCTTACCGGCATTTTTTAATTTTCAGATCCTTGTACACAGACAGCAATTGAAATTGAAAAAAGTAAGTTTCTTGTATGTGTGAAGTGCAAATAGAAGCATGATATTGAAAGCATAGTGTATTGGTAATAATTTGTTGTTAATTAATGCAGGTTCTTGGACCATTTAGTATGCTTCTACATTATGTGCGGCAGATGCATATGCTAGCCTTGTAAATGGAAATTATTCGCTATAATCTTCAAGAGACTCAATTATCACTTTGTTGCATATTTAAAAGGTGGGGAAAATTTCATATTTGACTCCATTTTCAGATCTTTTAAACCCATGTAAGGTGTCACTTCAATTTCTTGTGCCTGTTTCTCATCGTAAGTTTTTCCTTTGAATATTCAGTTATTAGAATCATGTACCACTGAACATGTGACCTAAGCCATTCTGGAAAATGAATCTGTCTTCGATGTATGGTAAGTGCAATATATTCCTGTGCTATCTAATTCCGTAATTCTAGATGCTAGATTAGAAGAAACATTTTCTTTTTGATGTAGATCAGTTTTCGGAATATTCATTTGACGACATAGTATCTTTCTTAACAGCATTTTTGCTTTCCAGATCCTCTTCCAGAGATGGCTTCTGAAGCATTTACAATTGGCCCTAAATGACAATGATTGAACTTATACAATCCAATTTCAGGCGCATAAGTATTGTTGAACCTGTTACATTCCACTTTTTGGAAATCATTGTTTTAAAAATGAATGTAGATTCACTGTGGATTGCATCCTTTAACAGCCAGCCCCTTAACTGTGCATGTGCAAGTTAGGTATGGGTAAATAAACATTTTTAGGCTGCAACTAGTAAAAGCAAATCTTTCAAGGCATGCATAGCATGCTAAAAGTTCAAATTTGTGCACTAGTGTTTAAAGTGGGACAATGCTCAAATGTTCAGATAATACCTTGAAAGCAACAAAGAAATCAAAATACTTTTGTGAGACCTATTGAGGTACTACTGACCTTAATGTAACATAGTTCATAATTAACACAATCCCTGTCCCTATGAAATCATCAGAATATATCTGCTGGTCCGAACGACGTTATTATAATTTTATTGTTGTTTTATCAAAAATTGAAATATTTTTCTACACGTCCAGGTGTTTTTCAAAATTCTATGACCATCCTAGCAAGTCCAATACAAAATCTGTGCAGCTAAGGCAAGTTCCATGAAAATATTTGCCTTAGAAGTTGTAAACGTTTGTGTCTTGCGTGTGGTTCACAGACATAAAAGCATTTGGTGTTATTATTTTTGAACCATGTATGACTCATAGGGCAGTGAATGTGTTAAGTGATTTTTTTTATTCTTGGATTAAAATAAAATGAAAGGCAGTAATACTGTTTAAAAACACATGGTGAAAGTAATTTTATTTTGCTCGTAGGATTGGGGCACCTGAGATATATTGCCCTCGTGATGCTACCTTTACAACTCGCAAAATAAAATGGCACCGTGTATCATAATTACTTGTTTTACCTGGGCGAATGTGTAGTCATATTTTTGTTTCTTTCCTTTCAACACTGTTGGTATTGTTCGTGTTTAATGCTCGTTAACAATGTAATATTCTATAGTATTCATATTAGTTTGGCATGTCTACAAGCCAGTGAAGTTGCATTTGTGCTGGTGTACTGTGTTTATTGCCTTGTGTAATACAAAAATTGTTCATTCTATTGAAATTATGTAATATCAATATGCTCAATACTAGATTATACTGCCCTAATTTGACTTTTTTCTTCCATAAAATCCTTATAATTATTATTGTGAATTTTTTTAATAAATTAAGGAGTGAAAAACATGGGAGTGAAATTTTAAAGTTCCCGCGTTGCTGTTTATTTCAAATTTACCGGTTGTTTCTTCGCTATTAGCTGTTCGTTACCCAATAGAAATTACACAGAACAATTTGGTGGCACCGGAAGTTAGACAAATAAGGCTTTCCTTTTAACATTGAGTGCCGTCTCTGATATATACTCTTTGGACAGAACCAAACCATGCTTTTAGTCGGAGAATATATGCCAACACTGGGCACCGCCCACCGTCAACTTCCAATTTACCGATGTTTGGAAAGGACTCGCGCTGCTCGTATTTCAAACATTGTGGACATATAATAGCAAACAGTATAACTGATGGAAGATATCAAAATTGACGCCGAAAGTATTATCAAAATAGACGAGGTAATTACATTTTCTAGGTTTTATTGACTTTTTAATGAATTTTCCATATTTTGTAGCCGGAAGTGAATTAAAGGAAGACTACCGTATTGGATATTCCTGTGTAAAAAAATACACATTTAAAAAAAAAAGGCTTTTAAATGAAATTACCAGATGTTTTCTTTTAAAAAAATGTATCCTCCGTAGCAATCGCTTGTTTCAATAGTATACTCTCTCAAATTCCTTTTTTTTTAACTTGTATATATCATTTTAGTTGAAGTGCAATATATAATTTCATGAAAGTTAGTAGATTAATTTTCCAATTAAATTTTCACAGTTCTATTTTCGATTTCTGGCTGATAGTTTTTGAGGATTCTTTCTAAAATTTACATTGCTAGCAGTGTATTAAAAAATTCTTGGACAAATAGGAGTTTTTTTTCCAATACCAATCCTTTTTATGTGTTTATTTAATAAGTTGGAGTACTTTTTTCTAATTTTACTGTACAATGAAAGTGTCAGGGTTCTTGATACATATTGTAATACATTTAATTTCTGTAATAAATAACTCTTATTTATTGGAAAATTGACCTTATTTCTTGCTTGGGAAGCAAGTAGTAGGTGACAGATTGAGAAGTTTTCTTAAGGAGAGAGATATCTTCATTTTCACACTTTATAAGTAGTTTTAATAAATATTTCCTACATGTTGGGCAATAATTCAAATCTACTGTATAAAAGTAAAGAAAAGTGCATTTTTAACAGATTTTGTCACCTAAAATTTTTGAATTCCCAAAAATATAACATTTTTGCACATATTGTATAAACAAATAAAAATAATATGTTTAAAACCTTCTTCATTTAAGAACCCAAAATGATATGAGATTAAAGAATCAATATACATTATCAAAAATACACAATATTATAAAATATAGTTAGATGTTTTCCCTAAAAGGAAAGAAAAGTACACCTTATTTCCATATATAAAGTATGTACTCTTATATCTTGACTATCTAATTTAAATTTACCACAATAAATTATTTTTGTTGCAAGGATAAAGTCATTTGTTTATGTATTGAGAGACAGGTGGAAATTTTGTGAAACTCATTATAATCAGTACAAAATTATGAAGGAAATAAAACTAAAACTGCAATGGAGTTGTGGTGTAAAGATTCCAGAATTATTACTGCAAAAAAAACTATTTCAGTGTAATAAACTTTCAAATTAGAATTTAAAGTATATAAGAAAAACACAATCAAATAGAAAACTTGGCTGACTGTGTGATCAGTATAGTGTCCATACTTTTCCTAGATTTGACATGGTTTTGTATCGATTCCAAATTATATTTCATACTTTTAAAATTGTTCAAAAAATGAAAGCGTTATTATATCGTTAGTAAAAAAGAAAGAAGATAACATGCTATTTTGAATTATAAGATAATTTTATTTGCAGTGTAGTGAAATTGTATTAATAAATGCTTTGATGTAAGTTTGAGGTGGATGCAGTCAATGTTTGTCTGTCTTGTGTTTAGATAAAAGAAGAAGTTGCTGATCAAGCAGGAGAGGATGATTCTTATTTGACAGTGAGTTATTTTTCTGCTTTAGAATTAGTATGTTTGAATTTTAAGATAAAATTTATTTCTGGAAGAAACGTCATCTGTTTTTTTGTGAAACAAGGATCCTCAGCTAGTCAATAGACATGTTTATCTGAATTAGAATGAATTTTGTTGAAAGAATAATAAACAAAAATTTCAAAAGAATTTGCATATTATTGGTTAATGATATAGGAGTTTGTAATTATTTTTAACAAAATATAAATAGTATAAGTAGTTCCAATTGGAAAATCTGGCAATAGGTGTAACATGACTAGTTATCAACTAGTAGCCGTTCTGAGCTCTGTTCCAAAGCTTTTTGGAAAAAAATTGTCTTGACTACTGAATACTTCTTGAGTCTTTTATGTAATATATCAATGAAACAACATGGTTATGTGAAGAAAAAGTCAGTTACCTAGAATTGATGTATATCAAAGAACTAGATTTGTGAACACATTCGATAGGATGGACGAAGCCTACACAGATTTCAGCAAGACATTCGATGAGGTTATCCAGAATATCCTAGTTTCATAATTGTGGAATTGGATGTTTTTGGTTCCGTGTTAGAGGGGCTTAATAGTTTTCTACACAGCTGTTACCATTTTCTGCAGATCAGACGAATGACATCAGATTATTCCCCAGCCTCTGCAGTAACTGTCTTGCTACCTACCAGTTCTTTTTCCACTGAGGCAGATTTTAAGTTTTTTTTTCACTTTGTTGTGTCGTGTGCATGTTTTAGCCATTAGAAAGGAGTGTACTGTTTTTATTTGCAGGAAGGAGGTTGGCCCAGTTTCGTAAAGAGAGAAGCGAAGGACGAAAATGAAGAGGTGAGCTAGTGTCATCAATTCTTCCTTTTTATTTTCCCTGAAACTCCAATTTCGTGTTTAACAGCATAGGTTTAGAAGATTCGTAGTAATAATAATAGTGGTAAAGATCTTGTCTGATTATCTTTCTAAGGTTTTGACGTATATTTTAGCAGTAATGTATATGATTAATGGCATTAACTATGACAGTATATGAAATGAATATTGACTTTGGTGAGAGCAATCACATGCTACGGTACCTTTTTGCTCAATGGTCATTCAAATTAAGAAGCGGGCATTACCTAATATAAAAGAGTGAAGAAACTCTTTTCTCTTCAATTCAAAATTTTGTCAAGTTTAAAATAATATTAGAACTGAAGATACTAAGGCTAGGAGAAAAAAGGAGGAGAGAAACAGTAGAAGAAAATCAACATCAACAACAACTTTGTATCCACCATATTATTTACCTAACTGTTGTGAGTGTAATAGTTCATAAACCTGAGAATTAAAATTTATTAATATTTAACTTTTAACTATTTCACCTCACACTTGGGCAAGTCAGAATCTGTGTGTGTTTGTAAAGTTGGTGTGAAATGAACAAATAACAACAATACACAATGTTGACCGCCAAGTTTGCAATGTCTGATTTTCTCGATGAAATGATGAAATTACCAAGATCATGCTCCCACAGTACAAATTTATATTTTTGGTGTAGATCCGCAAAGTGTCACCCCTATTACAGGAAACTGAAATATTGTTTTTTTAAATATTTGTAATATTATTTGGGAACCTGGCTCTCTTTTTTCTTTCTCCTGTCATTGGGTTTTTATTATCTACTTAAAATATACACAGATTTTCAACAATGCTGCCAATATAATTAACAATTATTTATTCGTAAACAATATTCCAAAATGATATTCGGCGAATTCAACTCTCCGCAGTACATACACCATCTTTCAGTTACACAAAACATAATGACCACATATAAATTTACCCTTTTAATATACAAAACAGAACATATCTTGGCAAAACAAATCCAAATAAAATTCATTCACTCATACATATTTAATTTACATTTCATTCACATGAGTACACTCCTTTTAATAATTGAATTTATTCTAATGGCCATTTACTAAAATAACACTTAAATTAATGACAAGTTGTACTAATGCCTTGTTACAAAGTGGTTTTGGCAAAATTTCATCACCTGCCTGGTTGCTGATTCACTGGATCCCTAATTCTCAACTTCCTCAAATGCCCTGCATCCACTCCGTCTGTCCCGTCCTCAACTTCTACAAATGCCCTGCATCCACTCATTCCTGTCACCATATTCTCCTTTTTGTAAATTTCCAATTAAAATGCTCTTGGGTTATAATACACATTCTAGAAACGTTACTTTTGTGAAATCGATACCTTTCAAAACAAATTCGACATGGAAATCAAAATTTGATCGCTGAACATTTCTGTATTCCAGTTTACAAATGTCTTCTGTAATTTATTCATTGATATAATTTTCTTACTAAAATCCAAATAATAAATTTACCTTCCCTTTTCCAAACTCCTAATCATGTTATCATTAAACGTTTATGTAATCGCTCGTCACTTGTAAAAACATTAAATTGTCTTTGTCTCGTACACAAACATTAATGTAATATAAGTTTTTACTTATTCTGAAATGACCTTGAGTTCAAGAGACTGTTTATTTCTTTCCTAAATATTCTTTGTTTATTTATTCACTTCTGACAGGTCTGCTAACAGAACAGTTCCTTGGATTTTTAAAATAAATAACACTTTACACTTACACCATTGCACCTTTGACTGTTTGTCTCTTTATTAAAATTCGTCAATTTGGTTATTTTGTGCTATATTAATATTCATTGGGGTGTGTCTGAATGGCCTGTCACATGAGATCATCCCTACTTTATTAGGTAGAGTGTAAAGCCTTGTACGTGGCTGAAAAAAATTCAGTGATGTATTTACTAAAATTTAATTGGTGGCACATGAATAAAATACAAATCAATATTTTAAACACTTTTATTTAAAGAAAATTGTTTGTTATTTACACAAAAGAATGATTTAGTGTAATCTTTATGAAATACTTTTCTTGTGACTTTCAAAAAAGGATGGTGATTATGGTCTACAACGATTTTGGAAAATGTACAATTCACCTGACTTCTCTGGCTAAAACTTTGTAAGATGTGTCATTGCTTTCTTAGGAAAGAAGGTTTGAATAAGATCAGACATGGTGATGGAAGAAGTATTTGAATAATTAACTTTGTGTCCACTGGACTGTGTTCTCTGTTGTGTGAATTATTCATTTCCTCTTCCTTTTGCTTATAACAGGTCTTTTTGGTAACAAAAAGATTAACCAATATTTCTTAAACCAAAGGGAAACATAATTGCTATATTTGATAGAGTTGGTCCATTTGCAGGAGGAATTAAAACCATTGGTGAAAGTGTTTCTGGATTCCAAGGAAGTGTCAAGTGGAAAGGTTGAGCCGCAAGATGAGGTAAGAATATTGGGTGCTAACAGCTAAATGTTCTCTAGATGTAGATAATGAATCAGAACTCCCTTATTCATTGAATTTTATATTATTATTATTATTATTATTATTATTATTATTATTATTATTATTATTATTGTGGACTCAAAGTTGCTGATGCAGTAAACCAAAGAGACGATAAACACCCTCTTAATTATCATAAATTTCAGGGCAGAACGACCATAGGAAGCCTGTGAGATTTCAGATAAACTAGAAATCACGATCGAAAGAATGAAAAGTACTGGCCAGAATCTCAAGACCCGGAGCCCCAGTACAACCCTGTCGATAAAAAGTGAAGTGCGAACGACTCAAGTTGTCCAATGGCCAATCAAG